CAGCCCAGCAGGGAAAAAAAGAGAAGCAGAAGACAGCAGGACACCACAAAAATAATGCTCAGGCACAGGAGGAAAGGAAGTGGGGAATCCTTTCCTGAGAGGATCCTACCAAGAAATTGTAGGCTTGTAAAACTACCACTCCTCTGTCCTCAATCCATCTGGTCAGATTTTGCTGACACCAAGAGAAAAACCATCCCAGTACAGAAACGGGACAATTAACATGTGTCTACACTGCACCCAGAGATCAAAATAGCTTATGTCGAAATTTGGAACGGTCTCTTGTTCTTTTCCCTTAGCTCCTATGGGAGCATAGGCCATCAACAATTTCTTTCCAAGCCTGTCTGTCTTGTGCCACCTTTTCTAATTCTCTCCAGCTTGGAACTGTCTACACAGCACTTATTTTGAAATAACACTCTATTCCGAGATGTTCCTTACTCCTCGTGGAACAATTTTTACAGGGATGTCAGAATAGCAAGCCCACTATATTTCGAAATAACGGGCTTGCTCAAAAGACGCGGAATAGCTATTTCGGGATACTTCCGGTATCCCAAAATAGCTCCGCAGTGTAGACGCAGCCTTAATGACGTTCCACTTCAGTTTTTACTAAGATCTCTTTCCTGGCGCGGGTCTATTGTCCCCAGGTGCTCAGATAACTTGAAGTGGAGTTCATTTGCAGGGGTCCTAAATGGAATTGCTTTGCATGTGAGCCTTACATGGATCAATCGATTGTTTTGCCAGTAAGAGAAACCAATATCATCAGTGGGGTGAGTGAGGGCATGCTGGTGGATCTGACGGGGTCCCCTCAAATATCTTTTGCAAGTCATTTGCAGAGGAATTGGAAATTAGGCGAGTTAATTAAGAAAAAAAATAACCAAAATGACTCAACCAAACAACTTTATTATGAAAGCACTTACAAAAAAAACCATACCCAGCCCCGATCAGATGAGGCACATATAGGGCTAGGAACCTCCAGTGGCGTCCTGTTTCTATTAAGCAGTCTGTCTGTCTTCATCCAACTTAAGCAGCTGCCAGCAAAATGACAGTGTGTATTCAAATCTCAGCAAAACAAACTCCCAGCTAGCGATCCTGTGGACTAAGGCCTGACAATGGCTGGAAGATATTGTTAGCAAACAGGCATGGCATGGACTGCCCAAGACATTAGTGCGTAGCACGCAGGAGCCCTTGGATGCTAGGGTGCAGACCAAGTAAGAGAAACTTCGGGTCAAGATGGAGGATTTAATTGGCCATTGACCCAGTGATGCGTCTGCACCCACAAGGCTCATTGTCATAAGCAGGGTCGTCTAGACTGAATCTTCATAAAAAGTCTTTGCCATTGCATGGGCCAATTTCACCACTTTCTTCTCCTTTGCATCAGGGCCCATATTGTGGCGGGCCAGTTTAAGCCAGTATTGCTCAGTCCTGGGCAGATAGTCCGTGTATTTCTCATCATGCTGCACAGACGGGTGTTGTTCCACTTATAGCACATGGCAGGAGGGAGAGGGGGGGAAAGAGAAAAAAAGACAGAGGTCACAAACAGCTGATGAAAGCAATCTACTTGCCCATGTGCCAGGCCGGGAGAGAGGGTGCTGCTGCTAACATATTTAAAGGCAGTAGTTTAAAGATGATCGATAGCTAGGGAAAATGGGTTCTCCCCTCAGGACACAGGCAGACATGGAAGAGAATTATGGAAATAAAATTTGCCTTGGAAAGTTCAAATTGTTGATTTGACTTTTTAATGAAAAGACTGAAGCACTGGATGGACAGGCAAACAGTAGGTACGCACTGTGCATATGTCTGTCTCCAATACCTCTGTCCAGATTTGAAACATGCCCTCTCCCCACACGATATCCCCATTCTGTGCCCATCTGTAGCTGTGTTAATGCACCCAAATCTGACCTGCAAACCCCCCTGCATCTTCTTCTGAGACAGATGGAAAGTATGGTCTCAATACAGGACTGCCAAGCAAGCAGGTTTCTGATCCCTGACACCCCTCCCTCCGTGAGGGTTAAGTGAAGGCTGGCACTTGTGAACGTGCGCTGCAGGTAAGAAACATGGAGCCATTACCTCTTCCGAAATTCCCTGTAGTTTCTTCCTACAGGAAAAACCCAATGCGCTCGAGCTGTGGTTCAAAGCTGGCCTGGGTTGCTAATAAAGCACAGCAGTTTCAAGTTCTGACGCCACTTCATAAAATCAGATGCCAGGCCAAAACCTCTAGAACCTCACAGACAGAAGCAAGGCTGCTAAAACCACCCCAAACAACTACAAATCTATGTGCTCTGTTCACTCCTTTTAGCATAATTACCTTCCTCGTCTTCACTCTCTTCCTCAGAGCTCTCCTCCTCCTCCTCGCCTCCCTCCGCACCTTCCACATCATCCCCCTCTTCGTCCGACTCAGATTCTTCCAGCCACTCTTGAGTTTCTTCAACAGTAAAACAAACATACCACGAATAAACAAAACACGATACACCTCCTGGGGTGCCCGGAATTGTTACAGGGAGAACAAAAGAGTCAGATGTCCCGTCTTTCAGAGCCCGGCAGTTGTGACACAGCCATTCTCCTGCTCAGCCACCATGAGACATCAATTTCTGGACAACTGATTAGTTTATAAGCATGCATAAAACTGAAAAAGGTGGGGGGAGACAGATAATAGCTATGGAAGACAGCATGGTTCAGAGCCTGGGCTGACCAAGAGTCAGGACAATTCTTACCTCTGCCATTGACCTGCTGCGTGACCTTGGTCAAGTCACTTAGAACATAAGAACGGCCAGACTGGATCAGACCAAAAGTCCATCTAGCCCAGTATCTTGTCTTCCGACAGTGGCCAATGCCAGATGTCCCAGAGGGGATGTACAGAACAGGGAATCATCAAGTGCTCCCTCCCATGTTGCCCATTCCCAGCTTCCAGCAAACAGAGGCTAGGGACACCATTCCAACCCATCCTGGCTCATAGCCATTGATGAACATATCCTCTATTAATTTAGGTAGCTTTTTTTTTTTTTTTTTTACCCTAGTTAGTCTTGGACTTCACAACATCCTCTGGCAAGGAGTTCCACAGGTTGACAGTGTGTTGTGTGCAGTAGTACTTCATAGAATCATGGGCCTGGAAGAGACCTCAGGTGGTCATTGAGTCCAGCTCACTGCCCATAGCAGAACCATCCCTAACTAAATCATCCCCGCCACGACTTTGTCAAGCTGGAACTTAAAAAACCTCTAGGGATAGAGATTTCACCACCTTCTAAGGTAACTCATTCCAGTGCTTCCCCACCCTCCTAGGGAAATAGTTTTACCTAGACCTCCCTCATTGCAACTTGAGACCATTGCTCTTCACTATGCCATCTGCCACCACTGAGAACAGCCTCTCTCCATCCTCTCTGGAAAAACCCTTCAGGCTGCTCTCAACCCCCCCTCCCCCTCCATGCCAAGGGGATGGGAATTCTCTTCTGCAGACTAAATAAGCCCAAATCCCTCAGCCTCTCCTCGTGGATCATGTGCTCCACTCTCCTAATCATTTTCATTGCCCTCTGCTGGACCTTCCCCAATGCGTCCACTTCCTTAGTTTGTTTTAAACTTGCTACCTATTCATTTCATTTGGTGACCCCTAGTTCTTCCATCTGGACCTCTGTTTCCTCTCTTACCCTTTGTCTGCCTTGTCTATTTAAGCCAGGAACTCTCCAAAGCACAGATTTGTCTTTTACTACCTGCCAGTGCAGCACTTCAATCCTGCCTGGATGAGCTACCTGCTACCCTGGTACAAGTGATAAAAAATAAGAAGAAATCCCGTGATCGGAGCCTGCCCTCCGGTCTCATTCGATTGTACGCTCTTCGGAGCAGGAAGCTTGCCGTCAAACAGCGCTGGCTGCTATGCCGATAACAAACGCCTACCAATAAATGAGAATGCTGACAATGCTGAGCCACGCCAAGGGGATGGGAATTCAAAGGCTCAATGTCTGTGCTCCCCGTTTCCCGCCGACAGCCTGTTCCCCCTTCCTCGTGCACCCAGGAGCAGCACAGAAAGGCATTCAGCGAGCAGGGAAAGCAATGGAGCCGCGCAACAAGGCCACCGAGGGAGAGAGAGCGAGTCAGAGATGATCTCGTTCCACAGGTGTGAGCATGGGAGGAGGCCAGGGAACACATCCCCTAGTCTCATCTCAAAATCACATGCCAAAGACATTCGGTGAGAACCAAGGACCTGGCTTTTAAAGCTTTTACCTTGGGGGCATTTCTGAATTGACCTGACTGGGAACACAGGGCCGTATCCGTGGTTCCGGCCTTTCTGAGGGCCATGGGCACTGAGGTGGATCGAAGCGAAAGCTTGGAGTAAACACACAGTAGGGAAAAGACCCAGATTAACTTTGCAGACGCCGTGCAGAGAAGCCTGAGTCCATAGCCCCTGCCAGATGCTGCCCCGGGTTGTTACACACACCTAGAGAACACCACCCCACATGCTGGCAGAGCTACCCTGAAAGTCTGGACCTCCCAATCACTTTGACCATGCAAGGTGATGCCTGCATTTGGAGGGCAGGGAAAGCATGTGGCAGGAGGCTCCAAGGGGGTGTCTAGATTGTCCGACATCCATGGGTGGGGTGGAACACCCTGCATCGCGCTGGTCGTTTTGGCACATCTCTTACTGAAACTTGCTCCGCTCTTATTTCTCCTGCTGACTTCTAAAGTGACCTTATCACAGCACACCACAAGTGGAAGCCCCCTTACGTCTGGTGGTGGAGTACCACTACCAATGGGAAACAAGCAGACTTGGGTCATAAGACTTCCCAGATTCCTTACCCTGCCTTTATTCACCCGTGGCCAAGACCACTTTCCCAACCAAACACTCAGGGAACAATATGGGACCATTAGGAGTAGGGATGTTAAATTTTGAGTAACTGACTAGTCGAATAGTCAGTTTGATTAACTTACTATTTGATTAGTTGATAGGGCACCTCCGCCTTTGAAGTGTAGCAACAGCCCTGGAGCTCTTGCTACACTTCAAAGGCGAAAGCACCACATGGAGCCCGGAGTCAGCTGGGGACTCCCCCGCTGACCCCAGGCTCCACGGGGCACTGCCACTTTGAAACACCACGGGGACCCCGGTGTCAGGCTGCACACGGCGTTTCGAAGCGGCAGCATTGCACAGAGCCCGGGGTCTGGCCCCAGCCTCCCCACGTCTCACCCCGCTTGCTGCCTCTTTCTGATAGAGGCAGTGGGGGACGAGGGGAAGGGAGTGACAAGTCAACTAGCCTGTTGACTATCCGATAAGCATTTGCTTATCGAATAGTCGACTAGTGGCTCACATCCCTACTTAGGAGAGGATGTCAAAGTTTTGTGTGTGGGTTTTTTTTTTAACCAGAGGATTAAGGGAAGGATTTGTGATCCCACAATAAATAAGGTCAGCTGACTGGAGTTCACAAGGTGAGGAAGGGTTCTTGTATGGATCAAATCTGTGCCAAATTTAGTTCTGCTGTGCGTAAAAGGAGCCCACAGCCAGCTATCTAAAGAATACAGCCCCGACAGAAATCTGCTCTGCACTGATTCACCTGTTTCCACGTCGCCCTAAATAGACCATGACTGAAAGACGATAGGCTTCGGTGTGATTTGTCCCCAGTTAGCATCAGTGCTGGAATAAGGCTAACGGTCATTGTCCTTAACGTCTCAAGGTGCAGTGCCGGCAATCTGGGAACTCTAGGGTGAGACTGAAAGCAGGCAGGACATTGGATGTAAAGATCCGTGCCATGTGCACGAACTCGCACTGAGCGCAGGATTTTATGTCGGAGGTGCTCGACCATCAGCCTGCCTGGGAGAAAGAAAACACATCTGCTGTGTTAGCATCCTCACGATTATTACACATCTTGGTGGCTGGAGCACAGAGGAGGGAGTCAGGAACTCTTGAGTTCCAAACCCTTCCTGCGCCACAGACTTTCTCTGTGGACTTGGGTAAATCCCGTCACCACAATTGACTTAACTTCTTCGTTTGCGATGTGAGCACGTTGTTTCCTTGGCTGGCCAAGGTTCACTTCTTTCCAAAGACAGGAATGACAACATGGCTAGTTTGGAGATGGCAAGTGAATACATAACGATGAGAGGAAGAATGATGTTGAAGTTAGGGCTTGGGAAACCTTGGTTCCGGCCCATGCTCTGGCACCGACTTCCTGTGTGACCTTGGGCAAGTCACTTAGTCTCTCAGGCTGTGTCTATGCTGCAGTTAAAATCCCTCTTCTGGCCCATGCCCGCTGATTCAGGCTGGGGGCTCTTTGACTGTGGCACAGATGTTCAGGGGCAAGCTAGAATCTGAGCTTGAGGACCCTGAGAGGTGGGAGGGTCCCAGAGCTTGGGCTGTTGCCTCTACACCGCAATTAAACAGCTCGTTAGCCAGAGCCCTTAGCCGAGTCAACCCACAGGCCAGCTGTGGATGTGTTACTGCAGGACAGTCATCTTCACAGCTAACCCGCAGCGGGGCTCAAAGCCTGGATCTACAGACTCAAGCACATGGGGCTCATGCTACAGGGCTAAAAATACCTTTGTGGACGTTCTGGCTCCGGCGGGACTTCTAGGCTCTGAAGTCAGGTGTGTGTGTGTTTGGGGGGCGGGGGTTCAAACCCCAAGGCATCAGGAGCCCGGTAGTGCGAGTCCTGGATGCCCAACTCAGTAGAGCTGGGTTCTGAGACTCGGGGTCGTGGGGCTATTAGCAGTGTAGGTGTCGCCTCTGTGCCTTGCTACCCCGGTGATAAAATGGAGATAGTGGCCCTGCCTTACCTCCGGGTGCTGTGCGGATAAATATATTAAAAGGCTGTGAGGCTGTCAGAGTAGGGAGGTGAATGGTTAACGGGTAAGCTTCACCCTTAACAGGTGAGGCTTACCGGTTGTGGTTAATCAGAGGCGATTGCAGCTGCAGCCCTGCGGAGTCTGCCATGGACAGCTCGGCTGTGGCAGACGGGAGTGTGGGGCCCACTCCAGCCCAGCTGAAGCAGCCCCCCCCTCCTCCCTCTTTTATCCGTTAAAC